GTGCTAACCACTGAGACACCTGCAGCCCTAGAATGGGACAATTAATATGAATATGAATATTTTGGGGTAAAACTCGCGTGATGTCCTTCTGAGACAAGTGGAACAGTTGTGATAACACCACGAGCCACAGCAGAGCCGAGGCCACTGTGAGCTACAGTAGAACTCTGGTGAAGTCCAAATGAGACACAGTTTATTTGGGAATCGTGCCAACAGGCTGTGAAAGCAGGGCAAATATTTATTACAAATACTATTAGCAGGGAGCACAACAGTAATTACCAGGAAACGGCTTCGTAAAGACCCTCCAACAGTCCCTGAATGGATGGAAATAATTCAGGAAATCTATAATATGGACAGACTGACTGGTCCTCTGAGACATGCCAGTAAAAGTGTAAGAAGCACTGAAAAACCTGAAGCGTTATTTTACTGTGGAGTGATTTTTACTACATATTCGGTTTGGAGATCTTTGTTTTTATTTACGACTGCACTAAAGCCAACTGAAGCAACTTCGGGGTGTAAACCAATGGAAGACACCTGCCCAGGTAAAAACACTCCGGCTTGGCAGGAGTCACAAACACCTGTGATTTTAAAGGACAGTTATAGACATCCAGGACTGACAGACTTTGACACTATGATGTAACCCAGCTTCACTTTGATTTTTTCCATTTGACATAATGTTAAATAGGCCTGAATGATGCAAAAAAAAATCATATTGTGATTATTTTTGACAGATGCTGAAATATTATAATGATTTTAAAGCAAATGTTTTTTTTTCTTTTCCCTTGAAAAAAAAAATAAAAGAATGATGATAACTTTTCTGAAGTCTGTATCAAACAAGCATGAAACAATGCTTCATGTGTTATGATCCAACTGGCTTTATCAAAACATGTTGAGCTCCTGTGATTTGGATTTTGTATTCGTCCAGATTTTGGACAGACAGGACAGCGTTCTACACTGTGATGGAACACGGCGTCCTTTTGCTTTCTGTTGTCAAAGACTTCCCGTTCCCTGTGCTGACCCTGCCTGCTGCCCCTTGGTCTGTTGGTTTCCCCTAAAAACTATAAAAACAAAGCTGTCCAAAGAGAAATAAGAGATGTAAATGATAGCTACAGTATAATACAGTTCTAGCGATGCAATTCTAAGACACAGATCACGACTAAATGGTTCAAATAAACTACCAATAAATGCCACAGCATCGACTCTTCAAAATGAAAAATGACAAATTGAAGAATTCTGCCTCTCAGAACTCGTTCTTTAGAAGTGCTGCCTGTCCACATCAGAAATCAAACGTGTTGTAATCATTCAGAGTAAAAAGTCGGCCTTCAAGGAGAGGAAGACACCAGCTCGCATTTTCAGATCATCTCTAAAGCAGACATCTCCAGCTCTGGTCCTGGTGAGCTGCCGTCCTGCAGGTTTTAGGCGTTACTGCAACACACCTGACCCACATTAATGGATCCCTAACAGACCTGTGTAGAACTGGACAACAAGCTGCTGCAGATCCATCCAGGTGTGTTGCAGCACATCATCTAAAAAACATCTAAAACCTGCAGGACAGCAGCTCACCAGGACCGGAGCTGGAGATCTAAAGGCTCTAAAGGCAGACAGTGATCGAGATGCATGTAAAGATGAAAAATGGCTCAAATATATGAGCATTAAATCAAAAAACGAGACGTAGAAGGAGAAGCATAAACTGACCAACCACAGTGTGAACTGGGTGTGAATGTGGGACTGTCAGTTTAGAAAAGTTAGAAATGTACTGTATAGTATGTACAGACCAACAGCTCTGACAGCTCAGTCAGTTTCTACTAAAACTAACAACTATAGCCTTCATGAAGGAAGATTTACTGCAGGGTAGGTGTACAGTATGAACTAGCGTTTGGCTGTACACAGGATATTCCTCCTATCGTGTTTGTTTTCATTTCAGTTCACTTACCGATCCATCACATATCAGCACATCTTAAAGTTCACATCAGAACCTTGTATTCACAAACCACTGTGCCAAACAAAACCTTGCTTGTGTGAACTCAGTGATAAATATTTAAGACCTGCGTAAAATCTGTCAGCTGCTGATGTGTCCTGTCGTCTGCACTGATCCCAGCGTGAGCAGGTGACCACAGCAGAACCAGTCCTGGTGCGTCCAGCTCTGTTCATGGATGTTAACTACCACTGTGAGGTTATTAACTACCACTGTGAGGTT